GGCTCAGTCGGTTGAGGAGCGTCTGACTCCTGATTTCAGCTCAGGTCATTCCAGAGTCGTGGGATCGAGCCCCGTGTTGGGCTGTGTGCTGAGCATGGAGCCTGCTTAAGTTCCATATTCTCTCTCTCTCTCTCTCTCTCTCTCTCTCTCCGCCCCCTCCCCCCCCGCCTCTCTCACACAAATAATTTTTTTAAATAAAAATAAAAAATAAACATGAGGTCCAAACAGGGAAGTTCCTGAAGTTAGACAAATATGTTTACCTTGATAATATTAAGCTAAATAGATCACTGTATCTCACCAAAGGAGCTCTTGGTTCTCAGGTGAGAAATACTTGAAGCCTGTAGGCTATACCCCCTGTCTGCATGATAGCTGCAAAGGGAAACTGTGGCTAAGGGCATCTGCAGTTTTAACTTGCTGGAGGCCCTACCACTCTTCCTTATCTCCTGACCACAGAGGACATGTATCCGTTCCATTCCTGGAAACCAAAGACGTTAATGTTGGAGTGAGAAACATCTGCCCTGTGTACCCTTTACTCGTGTACGTCAGCTGCTCAGCTCTGAGGTCATAGGAGTTTACAGCTCCTTCTCTGAAGGTTAATCTCATTTCCTGGTTACTTGTGGGAGTGGAGGGCTACCTCCCCACAGCAGCCATGTACTAAGGCAAGTGGATATGGATTAGGTGGTTTACAGCAAGAAGATAAATTAAAAAACCCTGGGAAGGATTAAACTGAGATTAGTTTCTACAATTACCACTTAAGGCAGCCAGCTCCTTTGACTTGCAAATCATATTGTAGGTTGGTTTCTTGGATGGAAAAGCTTTGTAATTATAGCTTATAGAAGCTGTGGACCCGGAAGAGAAAAAAAAACTTCCATGGGATTGTAGGGGAGGAAAAATAATTTTGCTTCCCCCTTGAGTTCTGAGCTGAGACTGCTATAATAAAAGACAGATTAATAAGAGAAAAACAGAAGTCTATCAGCACACATGCCTCATGGATACATGGAAGATACCCAGGGAAGAATGAGTAACTGAAAATCCTTAGTATTCTAAATCCTTAGAATTCAGGATTAAACACTGTCTCCACAGGCAAAGAGGAGGTAGGCCTCTAAGGGGAGAGGAAATGATTTTTAGGAGAGATTGAGTACACCCTTAGAAGAACAGATGGAAAATATGAGAGTTTGTGAAAAAGTCTGTCCTGGATATGGTGCCGTCTCCGAGTCTCTCCTGTGACAAGAGCCCATCTTCTCTGGTTGATGAAACTCTGGGAGAGGGGATTTATTGAGTTCCTTTTGGAGGATCTGTCTTTAGCAGATCAGGGGAGTTCAGACAAAGCCTCTCCTTGCATTTGCTGCTTTTCAGATGCCTTCTGCCCCAAATAATCAAAATATTGAAGTTGCCTATTTTGGGGCGGCATGTCCTGCTACACTCATTATGATGTAGACTAGAATACCTGCGGTCATTGGTGTTGTATTCGTCTTGTTTTCTTACAGTGGGGTCCCAGTCTTGGGCTGAACATTGATTTACCAACAAGATGTAAGACTTGATAAAGCTGCTTGCTTGAATCGAGAGAGAAAATCCTGTTACATGGCTTCCTGTATTCTTTCCGAAGAATACATTTCTTTCCATTCCATACTTCCTTGTTAGGCTGTTGATTTTTAAATTAGGCATCAGGATGGCTGCATGAGAACCAGTTAGAGAATCGTTTAAAATACAAATGCCAAGATTCTAATTTGGTGGGTGTAAAGGAGAGGACCAAGAGTCTGCATTTTTTAAAAGCTTTTTATGCTGAATTCAGATGTGTCCTCAGGTTGGGAGACACTCTTATAGATTCTTGCCACGAAACTGCACAAGTACCCTTTTCCCTTTCTGATTCTTTTCTTTCTGATCCACTGTACCTTCCCATTCCCAGGATGGTGTTAAAAAACACGCACACGTGAGCCACACAGGTGGCTCAGTCGGGTGAGCCTCCAACTCTTAATTTTGGCTCAGGTCATGATCTCATAGTCGTGGGATCGAGCCCCATGTCAGGCTCTGCACTGAGCATGGAGCCTGTTTGGGATTCTCTCACTTTCTCTCCCTCTGCCCCTCTCCCCTGCTCACTCACTCTCTCTTTCTCTAAAATAAAAAAAAAATTTCATTTGTTAAAACAATAAAAAACATGCACACATGCCTGCCATGGCATACACATCCCACAAAATGCATCCAATAATCTCCTACTGGTGAGTTTCCTGAGGGCGAAGCCTATAAATTCATCATCCTTGTAACAATACAGAGCCTTTCGTAAAATAGACCGTGTATCCATATTTAGAGAGTTTCAGACCATGAATGAGGAAAAAAGCCGTGGTAAAGTTGAGTTTCTCTTTTACAAATCCCTTCTGGTATAGATGGCTACATTTGCTCAGCTTTTACATGTTCAGAGGGCCTTTTATTTTTCATGCTGTAGCAGAATTAACTAAAATTTTCTAAGAGTTTATTATGATTCAGACCCTAAAATAAGTGATTTGCATGCATTGTTTCATTTAATTCTTTCAACAGTTCCATGAGGTGGGGGAAGATCTAAGTTGCAGTTAGTAAGCTGAGGGTCTGGAATTTTAAGAGATTTATCCAGTCACGTATAGGTCTTCAGTGTTGGAGCCGGAATTTGAACCCAGGTTTGTTTTGATTCTAAAACTTGTGCTCATTGAAGTTCCTGGTTTTATGTTTCCTGGTTTTTGTCATGTTTTGTTTGTTATTGTTCTTGGCTACTGAATATCAGTATAAAAAAAAAAAAAAACAACACAGTAAAAGGTCATTTCCATGTCTTACCAGTTTCTCAAAAGAAGAACAGAATTTTCTAAGAGTTTGGTAAAACAGGCATATTCCTTTTTTTTTTTTTCTGGCAGATTTTACACAATAAAATGATAGCTTTTTATTTCTTTTAACCACAGTTTTAGAAAAATGTGAATCCAAAATAGGAAAGCAAAAGCCATAGCACAGTTGGGAAGGCACTGGTCAGAGAATGCCTGGTGAGTTTGGGGATATGACATGCTTTCGGCATTGCTTCTAGAACGTTGGAAGCTGTTGCGCTCCCACTGGCTCGCTTTCTCACTTGTTCCCAAAGGGTGAGAAGCGAGAGGACTTTTTTCTCGCTCACTTTAAAAATGTCCCTGTAAATGATAACACGCTGCCTGGGAAAGCCACAGGGTAAAATCATGGGGGTGTCGGGGGGACGTTGTGTTTGCTAACTTCTGGGAAATTGCAGGCTATCAGTCAGTGGTCAGCACATTGAAAACCAGGCCCTCTACACTGTTGTCATTATGTTCTCAGCCAGTGTGAGGAACCTGGTGGCAATGAGAAAATGTCATGACCAGAGCACAAACGGATCTGAGTATAGATCAGTATAATATGTAGTGGAGACATAGATGGATATAATAAAAAACAACACTTTGTATTCTTTACTCTTGGTGCCACTAAGAAAACCTGTTCTGTTACAAAATTGAAAGTAGGAGATTTTTTTTTTTTCTTAACCAGAGGAATGCTCTCTTTAAATATATCTCTTTTCTACGACAGAGTTGCTGATGGGTAGCTATGTTGGTAGCATTTGTGAATCTTGCATTGGGAAGAGTGATCCTATGGTTTTCCCTCATAAAGCAAAACCTTTGATGTAGTCAGCAGTCAACTCCTGGAGAACAGGGACCACGTCTTAAACATTTCTTGTGTCCCTAATACTGAGCCTAGAGATGGCACGTAGTGTTTGTTCACCAACCGGCTCAATTTTACAGCAGGCTGACCAACTCTTTGAGCTGCTGTTACCATATTTGGCTGTGCTGTTGACCCATTTGCGCTCTCTCTGAATACTCTGTATGTATAACCCAAGTGACCACCCCACAGGCCCCGTCTGCACCTTTAGTTCTGATTTGCTGGTTAAACAAATTTTGCTTAGTGATTAAGACACAGACTGTAACTAGGATGATGGCATAGAAAATGTCTCATCAAGTTGCTGTTGAGGTTTTTGGATAAAAGGGTTAAAATTCAGAATGACCTTGAATATAATGGACACAAATAAGCAGAATTAAGACCATTAAGGAGGTATAACTTCTGGAAAACTAAATATAACATGGGGCTGTATATATGTGAGTTTGGTGGCAGGGAGAGGAGGGACTCATTGTATGAGTCAGCAACATACTGCTTTATCTTCTTAATTATTGGGCACACACTGCCAGTTACCCACAGGAGCATAACATGTGGGCACTGCCGGGTAACATTTCCAAAGTACTTGGCATTAGTCAGACTTTTTTTTTTTTAATAGAATTTTCTGTCCACTCTGGCTGGAGAAAAATGTGGAGAATTTGTCAAGGGTCCAGAGCATGGCAACTCTATGCAGAGGAGTGCCGGAAAATAGGACCCACTAAAAGAGGCTAATAAATAAGGATTAATTATTTAGCGTGATCCAAAGCAGCCTAACGGGTGATTAAATTAATGGTCTTCCGTAGCATGTATGGTTATTATGTAGAAGATGATATAATTATTTCCACTGTGAATAGAATTAGGGAAATGGATTTACATTAGAGTTAAAGGAGATTTTGAGGCAGCATTAAAGAACTTCTTGATTAAGGATTGTTGGACAGTGGAAAGACTTCTCAACTGGAAATGTGAAACCATGTTTCTTACAAAATAGGAATGGGGGTGCGTACCGCCCTCCAGTTACCATTAGATGCAGTTGGGGTGGAGGTTGACACCCTTTCCAGATACGTTCCAGCACGTTCCGTGCTGTCCGTCTCACATCGTATTTGACATTTTCAGCGAGTACCTCAGGATTCCCTTTTGTTTGTGTTTTTCACAGGTAATACAAATGTGCAGACCTTGCTTTTAATGATTCTGCAGTGCGTTTCAAGCAAGCGAGAGTTTAAACTATAAACCGAAAATTACATCACCTACGAATCAACTTGCCGCTCGCTGTCACAGGAGCCCTAGAATATTGTCAGCTCAACTTGCCTTCTTCTTTTTCTTCTTTAGAAAACTCGCTGTGCGCCCTCCTCGACTGTTCCGCAATGAGTGCCAAGTCTGCCATCAGCAAGGAAATTTTTGCACCTCTTGATGAAAGAATGCTGGGAGCTGTCCAAGTCAAGAGGAGGACAAAGAAAAAGATTCCTTTCTTGGCAACTGGGGGTCAAGGCGAATATTTAACATATATCTGCCTGTCAGGTAATGAAAAACAAACCTTAAGAACATTTAAACAGCTTCATTTTAAAGCAGTTAATTCTAAGGTATCCAAGAGCTGGGTATACCCAGCTTTTGCACACATCTGCTCTTCCAGTCATGTTTCCTGTTTCTCTTGATGTCCCCTCTGGTCCTTTTTCCCTAGTGGAACCTCTATTTTTGATGTTACTTGGTGTGGGAATGGGAATGAAGTTCAACTTTCAACATAGTATCCAGTTCTTGAAGTGCTTCTCTTAAGGGACATTTGTTTGGCCATACTTTCCTTCACTAGGACATTGACAGAAAGTGTGTTCTCCTTTAGGACTTTTTGCTTGAGGATAATTCCTGGTATCTGGATAATTGTCATTACCACCAGCCTGAGTTTCATTGGGTTTCTTTTCCTTAACCGTTTCCAATAATCAGTAATAGTTTGTCTCAAGATAAATATGGACACCTTAGGGAACATGAGAAAGTAGGTGCAGTGCCCAAGTCATTGCTTTGCCTGACAGCTGTCCCTTGTCAGGAAGAGGCATCTGTTCTATTAAGCTTAGAATTTTGTTGGATTATTTTCTTTTCTCTTTCTGCTTGTGATTGTAGAGGTGTGGGACTTCCTGTGGATTCCTACCAAGCTTTTGAGATAAAATCTGGATAAGTTTTCCATGGAGTTGTGGTGATGCTAACTAAGCTGAACACCTGAGGCATTTGTAATAAGTCCGATAATACTTCTTGTAACTGGGCAATGGAAGAATGAAGCTTGCCTTAATTCATCTTTTTTTTTTTATTTCCTTCACTTGTGGCTTGGGAATAAAACTTGATTTTTGGACCAACTTTTAGATTAAAAAAAAAAATAAGATTCTGAATTAGTTTATCAGAATTCACTTCAGTGTGTAGATAGGTTTTTTCCAGAAAGAATATGTAAAGATAATGACAAGACAGTGTCTTAGTTTATAATGAAATGATGACATAGCCTTTTGGTAAGAATGTCTTCTCAGTGGTTAGGAGAAAGCTTTTATTTAAGTGAGTGTGAAAGAATTGACCTTGAATTATTCGTTTTTCTTTCTGAATTCCAAATTAGGATTAGATTAATAAAATTTGGTTATTATTGGAGGACATTTGCATTCCCCTAGTGTGCTGGGTAGTGCTTGGCATTTAATAGGGGCTCAATTAATATCTAATGACTAAGTGGAAGAAGGAAGTAACCTTTCCTAATACCTTCCTAGTATTGTGTTAATGAGCTTCAGGTCTTGGAAATATTTTCATAATGTTAAATTTTAATTCTAGAGTTTTGTTTGCACCAATAAATAGAATGCATGATAATGAATTTTGTGTTTGGGCTGAGTGGAATGTGAGCTGAGTATGGGCACATAGTGACTCTAATTTAATTTTATTAAGTTTTATTCCATATGTGTTTCATTGAGATTTCCTCTGAAGATGGGTAGTTGAAGAAAAAGTGGATGGTCTAGAAGTCACTGGAGTTTTGCCTAGTACATACCTTTGACTGGAAAAGACGGCAGTTCTGTTTGCATTTGAGGCATATGCTACTGTCAGCCTATTTCTGATCACAAAATCTGCAAGAGTGATACAGGGACTCTCTGCCTGCCTCGTCTCAGTGAAATAGCAGAGCCGTTTCCCCCGCCATGGGAGATAATGACCTAGACTTATCCGATATCTGCGTTTCCCTTGTAGATTACCAAGACTTTAGTTTTCAAGTTTGAAACGATGAGAATTCCTTTTTCAGAATTCCATTCTAATGGAGGAAAATATCTTGTTCTCATAGTCTTCATCGTCGTTCTTTTCATGGATTTGAATCACAAGAGGATAGGTTGATAAAGTAGACCTGACAGATAAGCAGATGGTTTTATGGAAATTGGGGCAGGAGACGACCAGACAACTTTGACACCCAAGTTTTTTGCAGTTTGATTTTTTTCTTATAATGGAGAAAGGAGCAGCCTTCTTTATTTTCTAACTTCCATGAAGCTTAGAGGCATAAGGTGATGTTTTACCTGGTAAGTAATTAATTCCTCAAATATTTATGAAGTATTTTTTGTGTGCTGAGCACTCTAGGTGCCAGGCATGCAGCTAGGAGAAAAAAAACTCACGAAGCTTACTTTGATGGGAAGGAGCAGTAGACATCAATCAACTACTCGCTAAAATAAACATAATTATTAACTGTGAAAAGGCTCAAAAGGAACAATACAGTGATGCGAAAGCATGTGTGAGGAGAATTTGTCCTGGCTGGGAGAACCCAGAGCTGCGAGAAAAGTAGGGCCTCCCTGGTTCTGAAAAGGCATGGTGTGTGTGTGCAGTGAACGTTCCTGGCAGAGGGAAGGGCCGCCTCATTAAAAAGACTGCACCGGATTTTGAGTTGCTCCTTTTCTCCCGTGCGGTCTCAGGATGACCCTCTTGTAGCTCAACTCACAGAGGCAGCTGTGAAGTGAAAGCCGAGCCCTGGAATGACAGCCTCCTTCCTGCTATTAGCGTGAACCACCTACGCCTTCTGGGAGGCCAGGCTCTTCTCTTGTGGTCTGGTTGATGAAAACCAGCTATCCCGTTGGAACAGGCAAGATTTGTTCAAATTAGGGCAATGTCTGAAAATAATATTTAACCACTTTTCGAGCAGTATAAAAAGTTTAAAAAAATTTTTTTAGGGGAAGAATATCTCAGCTTTCAGACCTTGCCAGCACATGCATGTAAGCATGAGTGTTGTACATATCCAGTGTCTTTTACTGATTTGTGTGTGTGTGAGCCTGGCAAATTTCAGATCTGAGAGGGTGAGCCTGTGATCCTCAGAGTTATTATTTTCAGAGCGAATTGCATGTTTTTTGGAGGAATCCAGAAAGATGTTGGAGCAGGGGAAGTAAGATGATCTTTCTTGGGTTATTTAGCTGTGATTGTGTAAGGAGAGAAATAATCTCTCCAGTTCATTTGCGGAGCCTTGGAGTAGAATTTGAATGTTTCTCTTTGGACTTCCCAAATGGCTTCTTGGATGGTGCGCAAACATTTATTTACTGACATGCTTTGGTTGATTCGCATTCTCAAAGCCTGTTTTCCACTTTTTCTTTTTGGCAATGGCTAAAATTAAAAAGACGGACAATACCAAGTGTCAGCAACCATGGGGAGCAGTTTGAACTCTCATACTTTGCTGGTGGGAGTGTTCACCAACTGCTTTGGAACAATTTGGCAGTTTTTTGTAAATTCAAACATGCACTCTGACTCAACGACTCTATTCCTAGTCATTTACCCAAGAGAAATAAAAAAACATATCCACATAAAGACATGTACATTTAATTTGGTATTTATAATAACCAATACTCAGAACTCAAGTGTCCGTCTACATGTGAATGAATAAACAAATTATCTTCTATCTATGGAATACTCCCTAAGAAATGAATTGCCAGTACCTGCAGCAACATGGATCGCTCAAAAGCCTTATGTTGTATGAAAGAAAGAAAAGACAACATGCTGTATGATTCTATTTACATGAAATTCTAGAATGGACAGAACTTAAGCTGTAGTGACAGAAAGCCCACGGGTGCCTGACAGGGTTGGGGTCAAGGATTGACTGTAAAGGGGCATGAAGGAATTTTTTGCAATGGTGTAAGTATTCTGTATGTTGACTGAGGTGATGGTTATCTGGGTATGTATCTTTTTCACAACTTATCAAACTGTACACTAAGAATAGGTACATTTTATTATATGTAAATATATCAGCAAAATCTATTTTTTTTAATGTTTATTTATTTTTGAGACAGAGACAGAGCATGAACGGGGGAGGGGCAGAGAGAGAGGGAGACACAGAATCGGAAATAGGGGAAACAGGCTCCAGGCTCTGAGCCATCAGCCCAGAGCCTGACGCGGGGCTCGAACTCACGGACCGCGAGATTGTGACCTGAGGTGAAGTCGGACGCTTAACCGACTGAGCTACCCAGGCGCCCCTCAGCAAAATCTATTTAAAAAAAAAAAAAACTCTTACAGAGTCACTAGTGGGATGATGGTAAGAATTTATTAACCTTCAGGGTGCTTGGGTTTACTCAGTCGGTTGAGCATCTGACTCTTGATTTCGGCTTAGGTCACAATCTCATAGTCCGTGAGATCCAGTCCTGCATCAGGCTCTGTGCTGGCAGTGTGGAGCCTGCTTGGGATTCTCTCTCTCAAAAATAAATAAGTAAACTTAAAAAAAAAAAGGAATTTATTAACCTTCTTATGTCTCCAGCCTCCTCCTATAAGGAAGACAGAAACCAGTCCTCTCATTCATACAAATGAGAAGTTATCCTGCACAGCCTTTTTGAGCCCTCAAACAGAAGCAGCTGTGTGTCAGGGAAATCTGTGCTTGAATCTATATGATGTGAATGTCAGTGCATTCCAAGTTCCTTATCGCACCTGACACATTGCCAAGTACAGACACTATGCTTTGTGTTTAACTAGAAGATGCTATTTAAATTTGTGGCTCACTACATACCTGTTTAGACTTTAGACTTTAAAATTTAAAACGGTTAAGTCATTCAAAGTATAATGCAAGCCCCACCCCCAAGAATTTCTACAGTTGGTGGCCCCTTCAGTGAAACTTGGGTCTATAAAACTAAACTGGAAACGTGCTAAGAAGTTAAAAACCAGTTTATTAGTAGAGGCCAGTTAGCTACTGAACATTCCATAATTTCATGCTTAAAATCTATTTTCCTAGTCCTGTTTTAATTCAGTATATGCCATGTATGATGCTAGCCTTCACATCCATAAATGGATAAAAATCATTCCTTGGCTGCTACTCATTGTCCCCATGAAAAGGAGTGTGAAGAAATTTCAATTTTTGTGATTAATACCTTCTTTTACGTCTTTTGTTGAAACGAGATCTTTATCTTTGGGAAATGATTTTAGATGTTTAGAGAGCAAAATTTTCTTATTTAAAAAAAAATAGTTGTGAATGAACTTTGATGAAATAATTTATGTAAATGGATCCCTGTGGAAGGTAGTTACACGGGATAGGAGCCTCGAACCTGGCAACACTACTC